AGGGAATAGTGCATTCATGTGTGTTGACTCGGCACAGATAACATGAAACCTGTGCCCCTGATAGCAGTCTTGACTTGCACAGGTGACCTTCCTAAATGTTTGCTCCCTTACATACATCTACGGCATAAAGAACACCTAGTGCACAACAAAAGTACGACAAAGCATGCTTACAAAAAGGTAGAAAAGGAGCCAAATTGGGCCTGTGTGGCATCGTGGCATTTAAATTGCAAACGCATACAGAAATAGATGTTCCCACGTTGCATGCAGGAAAAAGTAAGACCCCCTCGTTTATTCATTGGTCTCGTTATGGAAGTGGGGCGTCTCGTGGTGCTGAGCGTGCTTCACATTCGGCTACTGAACGTTCTCTGAGCCAAACTCTTGCCACAAGGGCACATGAGTTTCGCCATTAATCAAACTGGCAGCCACACGATTGTTTTTTCTCTTTTTGAAAGTATAAAAGAAAAAAAAAACATTGGGGGAACGAGAAGTGTAAGAAAGACCGTGCTGGATGAGAAGTGGAGCATAAAAAGGGAGGGGGGGGATCACAGCGTAAGTCACCTCGACTACCCACTAATTTACAAAACAGGGACACAGGCATTAAATACGACGTTGGTTATTATCACAGATGGCATTAGCTATTGTTTAGTTTCTGAAAGTGTTTACCCACTGAGCTCTCAATTTGACAAGCTCTGTGTTTTCATATTTTAAATGAAGTGTGGCTGGCTACAGAATGCTAACTGCTGTCTTTCTATGCAACTGTTGCCTTTCCCCAACACCGCCCTACCCACTTCCCCTTCCGAGGACTTGAGATGGGGCCAACCGATGTGAGGGCTGGGTACGCGGGGGCCGTACATTTCCACCAGCCAAATAGATGATTTCCCTGGTTCCCCTCAAATTCAGGGGAATCCGCCGCGCCATTATGCCGACAGCAGCCCTGTTGAATGTGACCTCCCTGAATGGATCCCCGAGGGTTCAGGGGTCATCTCATGACTTTGGATCTCCAATGCCGAAAAACCTGCCGTGTCTGGTGAGAGTTGCATACGCCACAAAAGTGTCATCGTTCACATGCTTAAAGAAAAAGAAAGCGAATCAAGGAGAGTCTCTGACAGCACTGCAGCGTGACAGACCTTGACAAAGGCAAGGGGGGGGAGGAGGGGGCCTGTGCGCCCCCTCGGGCTAACGCACCAACGAGCGCGCTTTATTGTGCCAGCTAAAACCTGTAGCATCTGGAAGTCGCGGGTCCATCTATGAGGGGCGGGGGGAGGTCTGTGGGGGAGGGGGGGGGTTTATGAACGAAGCGGGTCAATCAGAGAAATGCATAAATAACAAAGTGGCATGTCATTCTGACTTCCTATCGACTTTCCATTAGTGGCTGATTGATGCAAGCTTTAGATGTCAGAGGTGTCATTGATTACCACTACTCCACACACTCATTCGCCATGTCATTCTTTGGGGGGGTTCCGTCGGCACTCTAGCCTCCCACCTGGGCAGACTAAATCAAAAGGTCAACAGGGGTTTATATATATATATACAAACACACACACACACACACACACAAACTTCAAATCAAATCATATAGTCTGGACTATATATATATATATATATATATATATATATTATATTATTTGAACGCAGAATTGAATATAGTTTTGATAATTGTAATTTGTGCAACACAAATTTGCATGTTTCAGCTTTTCAATGCATGGATGGTTTTGCGGTTTTATGTAATAAAAGTAATTCCCTTTTGGTCTGGAGATCGTCCATCGAGCTATGGAGGGATATGACACAAAAAACTTTAGACAAAAAGGGAAACGCATGTAACCTAAAAAGCTAATCCAGCTTTCAACAACAAATAACTTTCAAAGAAAAGGGGGGCCACAAGCGACGCAGGGTAAACAGAAGTAGGGGGCGTGTAATCCAACTTCTAATTGCACTAATAGCCTGACTGCTGAGAACGTTCGGATTCCTAAGCCTCTCAAAGGGAGTCGGCTGGCGGGGGTTTCGGTCATGTGTGTGTGTGTTGCATTCGGGGCACAGCTGAGGGGGCCAAACATTGGGAAGATGTATGGTTAGGATGTATGCTAACCACCCCTTTCCTTCTCTTCTCAAGCAGGAGGACACTTCCAGGGCGCTTCTTGTTCCCGTAGAGGAGAGATGGTGGTAACTATTCTCCCGCAGCCTGTTAATGCCAGCGCTTTGGTGAACATAACAGGTTAATAAAGTAGCGGTCAACCCTTTATCACACCTGCCCAGCACCCGCCGGTCTCCCGCCCAGCCCCCCACCCCATCACCGCCATAAGTCATGCAGTGTTCCTAATTAGAGGGGGGGGGGGCTTAGGGCAAGAGGAAGTGTAAATGTACTGCAGAGTTTTAATGCCTCGATTCCCCCAGGCGCGTTTGCTTGATCGTCAAATTATTCCGGGTTGAGGCGGCTGGTATTTACTTCACGCTATTAGTCGGCATCTTACCAGAGGCCAGGAAAAGAAAAAAAGAACAAGAAAGAGAAGCAAGTGTCTAGCTTTCATATTACACAGGAATATGCCAAACAGAGCATTAGCTTTTTCATATTAATCTGCAGGCCCTGTAGCGGTGCTCCACAAGTATTCAAATCCAGACCATAAAGGAGTACCGGCACCGAGGCTAAGCAATCCACTGCTATGGTCACAATAACACATAACCATGCAGTTGTAAGAGTGCAGTTTCTGCAGTGGCAGAGAGGAGAGCGACATAACGGCTCCGGTTCCCTCTGACGGAAATTCATTTCCTTTCTTAAAAAAGTGGACATTAATTTCTGAACTCCAATTCCAGTTTCAAGTTATGGTCCCATTTAAAGTAAAATAGACCATGAAGCAGGGTGCGCTTTAGGGCGGGGTTACCCTGTGATTGACACGTCGCTACCAGTGCGCATCCCTTTGACAGTGTCACGAGTGAATTGTCATGTCTTGGACTTCTAAAAAGGTCTCATTCAGGTTTCAGTTGTACCCCTCCTTCATGTGTCTCTTCTGATTGCAGCAAATAAAGAAATGGCAAATTCACTGAAAACCAAATAGGGACGAGCTAAAATGTTACGGATTGAGAAACCAATGGGTAATGTCACCGACTACGTCCACCTTTTCATTTACAGCCTACGTGGTACAACACAGCACTCTGCCTGTGCATGCAAAAGCATTTCAGTGGAACTAGAGCTCCAAATTAAGTCTTCTTTGTAGCGGCCTTCTAAAACAAAACATATCGGATTGAGGTCCCCACTAAGAAGGACACCCCTGGCTGGCTTCCCCCCTGCCAACACTATACCAGCTGTGTTAATTGAATGCCTGTGTGGTGCTGCAGTGGATACGTCATGATCCGGTGAAGCAGCAGTCCCTAACCTTTTTTGCCTCACGGACCGGTTTCATGTTAGACAACAGTTTGCATATGACCCTCAGGAAATGTGTCATGGGGGACAAGCGCATGTAATTGGAAGAAAATCTTTCTGTGTGGCCCCGTGGTCTGGGAGCGCTACTGTAAAGCAAAAGAACTAGAAAACAGTGTGTGAGGGTATATCTTCTTCTCATTTGGTTAAATGGCTCATGCAGAGGTCAAACATTTAAACGAAGATATTAGTTTCAGTCCATGAATCTGAAAATACAATCAATAGCCATAAAACATACCTGCCATTCAGGAATGAAATTTCCATAAATCGGGGTATAAACTATGAACACACCCCTCTGTAATAACTGAAAGTAATGCAACTGGTTTGGTGTTTCAAGGTAATACTGAAAAAAACATTTTTATTGTAAAAACTTTACGCTTAAGACACTACAGGTAATTTTTTTTTGTATCTCTAGTAAGCATGAAACTCTAGTTCCTGGTGTGTTTTGTTCAAATATGCTCGTAACTAACGCACTCGTTGGTGACTTAGGAGAAATCTAAATGATGCAAATAGACATAAGCAGCAAATATCTACTGTACATGTAGACTTCATGTCGTTTTTATTCCACATTTACCGCTTGGAACCATTTTAGGGTTTAGTGCCTTCCTAAAGAGAGCCTTGAAGGTTGTTATGACGAGAAGGGGGTGGGGGGGGGGCCTAAAAACCACAACAAAAACACTGCCATCATCCTCAGCTGCCATCCCTCCTGCCAAGCTGCTTTTTTCGAATGCCTGCTGGTAACTGCAGGGCTTCTGTCAAGTTCCATCACCAAAACAAATACAATGCAAGCAAAATCATAATTGACACACAAATAAGTAACATGCATTCTAAGCTGCTGTTTTAGCTTCCAGGTTAACCAGCCACAACGGGTTCTTTTTTGTCTGGGCCGGCTTCCCAAATCCAAGTTATTAGGCAATTGGACTGATTGTGGCGATGCCCAGAAGAACCAAGGGAAGAACCCCGTCTTTCCACGAGATAATGGCTTAATTTGTACATAATCATAACAGCCATGTTCTTTTAAAATACCAGGACGTCCCTTTCCGAGAACACAAGGCTCCACCAAAAAACCAATCGGCTCAAATATCGTTGCACCATGCAACAGCTCCGAAGGAAATGATGAGCACTGAGGATAAACGAAGGAAAGCCTCGAGAGATGCTGCACATGGCCCAGCGAGTTTTGGAAGTGCAATCAACATGCAACGCGTATTTCCGTCCCGCATGGGGACATCAATAATGAAATGGAGTGTGGGAATTCCTCCCGGGTCACAGCAACGGACCTCGACATGCACCCAGGCTGCTTTTCTCTTCGTCGGGAAAGGGCGCACGCGCACCCAAACCTCAGCCATCGTTTACAAACTGCTAGCTAGTGTGTGCTGACATCTCTTTACCCGCGCATATTCACCATAGGAGAGGCACGTGCGTCCTTGGACACACGGTATTCAACGTCAAAAAATGAAACGCACAACCCGAGACAGAGCAACTCCAATGTGCGCCCACGTGTGTGCACGTGAAACTGGGAACGCGGGAGAGAAAGACAAAACAAAAAGAAACGCAGGGTTATTCAAATAAAAAAGATATCGAATCTCACCCCCGGAGGATATCTGGAGGAAGAGGCGCGGATCTGCGGCGCGTATGGCCGCGGTGTAGCGATCCTCCATACCGGGAACCTGGGCCTTTTTCTCGGGCATGAGCCGGACCCGCAGCCGCCCTCCCTCCGCACCGAGCCACCACTCCAGAATAGTTGTGAGGTCCATTTCCAGGTCGAGTCCCGGGGCATCCTCGTGCACGGACAAATCCCCGCACCCGGTTCGCACTAGATCCTCTCCTATTTCCACAACGACTTGGTTTGATTTCCTGCTGGCTTTCGTCAAGCCCAGTTTCAGAACTTTGGACAGCGGCCGCGGGTGGGAAAAGGGCAGCTGTCCTTCGGGGGACGCGTTCCTCAGCGCCGAGTCCGCAAAAGTGGATACGGTCTTCTGCAAGGGTATGCAATGCATTTTTAAGTTTGCGCGTACCGTGTAGCACCCAGTGGAACCCTGGCAGTCGACGTCCAGGGGTCTTTTTATGAACTCCGCCAGGTAATAGCGCAACAGAGACGGGACCGCAAAATCCACTGCCAGGGTTTTCCTCTTGAGTCTGGAGTTTATGGTTTGGTTCGAGTCCCGTTTGCTGCCTGTTTCCCCGCTCGTGCCACCGCCGCCGCCGTCTCCACCGTTCACGCTGCTGAAACCGGTAGTGGGGAGATCAATCCCCGCCGTGGCCGTTGTCGAAGCGCACAACAGCCCGGCAAAGAACGCCACAGAACAACCGAGCCAAAACAATATCCTGGCGGTCATGGTTCCAAAGGTATGTGAATCTTTCGGTTGGTATGGGAGAAGACGCACCCGGTAATCCCTCCGTTACACCGTCCCCTCTCCGTCTGGTCCTGTCACACAAGCAGCAGCAGCGCAAGATCTCAAAGTACGAATCGATGATCCTGCGGGTCTCTTGCGCCTCCTCGCCGGTGCGCACCAGTGGCAAGACGGGGGGAGGGTCTTTTTTTTACATTTGTTTCTTACTGTCTGTAGTCGTCCACGCTGCTTCAAAACGTGAAAAGTGCCATATCCCTCTTCCAACCTCCCCACACACTCCGATGCCTTTTCCTCGCCGGTGCTCCCCGGGACGCTGATTGATATGCCGGTCGAGTCCTCCCCGGTGGCTTACAAAAAAAGAGACTCCCTCTCTTTGGCACAGTTGCGACGGCGGCACACAAGTGGTGTCTCTGTCAACAGCGGGATGCAGTCTCGCTCTGGTCTCCCCCCACCTCGCTCTCTCGCAACTAAATCGCAAATTCCGAGCGAGTTAATGTTTTCCTCTAAAGCAGCAAAGCATAGTTTAAAGTTGTTAGAAAAAAAATCGCTGCGTCTCACGGCGTCGGCTAATTGGAAAAAGCCCGATGCGGCTCTCTGCCTAATTCCCCGCCATGGTAGCCGATTCGGCGCCCGTGCCTTGATCACAGTCACCAAGTCAGTTGGTTTGACGTGAACACGAGCCGTTTTTTCCTCCCCTTGCCCAAGGAGCAGAAGAACATCTGAAGAAGCCCTCTGCAGCTGTTGCGCACGCGTCTAAAGCGCACCTCGGCTCAGCCGAAATGGTGCCCGCGTCTTTATTGGAACACGCAGCCAGCGCACGGCTCCAACAGTTTGTCTCCCTCGGGACTCGTCGATGAATCACCGAGCCCCCGTTTTTGTGTGGGTCCGGAAATGATATATACATACACACATATATCGTGCGCAAGAGGCCACTAACGGAACTTCTTTAATTAGGGGGGGGGGGGGGGGTCGAGAAGTCGATCGGAAGAGACGCCCGCTAGATGGCGTCAGCACATCCTCATGCTCCTTCTCGCGCTCCACTGTTTCCCTGACAAATCCATTAATGACTTTTAATTGCTCTGGAATTTTCACACCCTCCTCACGCGAGCCGTATCTATGGAGGAGGATGATGTTGAAACATTCAATACGAGCAGTCGGGTATATAAGAAAAGTCTACACACAATAGCTAATAGTTTGTTCCAATCATCTTCTTAACCCTGGAATGTGTGTTCCGGTGAAGAAAAGCAAACGGGTACAGTTCAATGCAAAGGAGATTTTTTACAGAGGACACAGTGAGCGACTGATGCGGGTGAGCAGAAAGACCAGGTGAGCGTAATTAGGTAGGGGTGGGGTCAAACCACGTGACAGGTGAGGTGAGAGCCTATCAAAAAAACTCCATGGACACTGAGGCGCAATCCCGATCTCCCCCCGCAGTGCACTTTAAGAACCCCTTCTGTAAATTAGCATTGCAAACTGACTTTCCCCAAGGGAATTACCCACAAGTCATTGCAACGTGACGTCAAACACGGGATAACCAGTGAAAGCATGAAGGGGAAAAAAATGTAAACAAACTGCAAATGTGGGTTCAGACTGTCACATCAAAAACGTGAAACAAGAAATATGGATTAAAGACAGAAAAAGATCAGTCAATATTTGTTAATTTAATCATCAACTATTTCATTGAGTCATTCAAGCTATTTTGACAAAAAACAGTAAAATATTATTTGAAATGGCCTCTCATCTTATGAGGAAAGAGATCGAGAGACGTTCAAACCACAGAGTAAAATTAATCAAATTAATACTCTCAATTGTACATCGTATCTTTTGACTTGTCATGGTGACATGTTGCAGCAAAGTGCTGTCCCATTTATATTTACACCACATCAAGGGGATGTCAGTTAGGTCCCTGAGGGTTCAGCGCTCAGGGTTTAAGGGGACATTGGGATTGGGCCTCTGATACATTTATTTGTCCATAGCGACCTGCCCGCTTTTTGTTTTTTTTTGCCCCAGCGATCCTTGGTCCTCAAGTAGTTTTACATGAAAAGGAATCATACTCTCTGAAGGGGGTAAGCAAATGAAATAGTTGGATCACTGCATCACTACAACCCTTTCTGTGGTTCTATAATCAAATTTACTTTAATCATGTTTATTCACCTTTATTTATACAAAATGATCAATAACCAGGAGCCCAACAGTATGATCCAGCTCTAGTATGGTTGGAGACTTTTTGATTAAGTTAGAATCAGTAGGCGATGATGTTATACAAATATCTCCTCCATTCTTCCCACACAAACAACTACCACACTACTAGATTCAGTGTACACCTGCTACTGTATTCAACGTTATTGCCATCTTAACTGCTTACGGCATCCAGGGCCTGCTGACTGCACATTTCTTGCTTAAGCCATAAGCAACAAACAGCTGGCAGTGATTCATTATTAACGTGGAGTTATTGTGGCCCGGCACAATTCGAGCCCATTCTTTCTCACTAATCATACACCACCAACGGCTGCTCTTAATTACTCATAGCAGAGATCATGCATTCAGTCGTGTGTGTGTCTGTGTGTGTGTGCGTGTCGTATGGCCGCAGCTAATTTCATGAACTACTGGAGCCATCAGCCTAAAATCTTCTGCACAGCCTTCTGTGATTGGCTGCACATCCAAACATAGCTCCTCCCAGGTGGATCATCGTGCTTTCTGTCCACGCCAAGTCATTTTCTTCTTCAATTCAACATATTGAGGCATGCATTATATTATCATTATTATCTAACATGTAACACACCTCACCATTATCCTTATATTTCAGAACATCTAAAACATTATACTTTACTCATTTTATATAGTTCAAAATGAATCAGTTGGCCTGCAGGTTTTTCCCATCTGTACACTTACAATGTCCTTTTTTTCCAAACTTGGACCTGGACACAGAAAAACCCCTCAGAAATCAGGAAGAAATCCGTCAGGTATAGACAGAAATCCTCTGCGAGGGTGGACATTACATTATGGATGTAATGTGTACGGTACTAAATGACTTACAAGATATACAATGTGTCAAATTCCTAATATAAAAATGAATAAACTATCTAATAACACACAAACTGTAATTCGACCCTTAGTCATGATCACATATCTATATAATTTCCACCGCCGGGCGTGTTTTTCTTCTTTCAATTCAGTTCAATTCATTTTATTTTGTATAGCCCATAATCGCAAATTACAAATTTGCCTCAGAGGGCTTTACAGTCTGTACACATACGACATCCTCTGCCCCGAAACCCACCATCGGCACAGGAAAATCTCCCCAAAAAATGAAAAAACCCTTACAAGAGGGAAAAAAGGGAAGAAACCTTAGGGAGAACGTCAGAGGAGGGATCCCACTCCCGGGATGGACAGACTACAATGGATGCCCATGTGTACAGAATGAACAATGTATAATACATGCAATTATATGACAGAAATTATTCAAGTAATTGTGAGTACTAAGCCAGGCGCACAGCAGGACCACTGCAGGGTCAACCACCATCAGATAGAACCACCATCCACAGAAGCCTGTGGGGAGGGAGAGCACAGAGACTTTAGGAGAGGGTAATGTCGGTTTATGAGTACAGTAATATGATTAATATCCAAAATAATGATGATGATGATGATGGCAGCAGCAGGCGTCAGCAGGGCCACGGTAGGTGTCAGGACCAGGGTCCCGAAGGAACCACAATCTACGGAGACCTGATAGGGGAGAAAGCACAAAAAAAAACTCCCGGAAAGAAGCTGAATTAGTCATGTCCATTAATAAAACTTGAATTATGGTAGAACGAGAGCGTGAGAGAGGAGCTCGGTGTGTCCTAAGAATTCCCCCGGCATTCTAAGCCTATAGCAGCTTAACTAAGGGCTGGTCCGGACTAACCTGAGCCAGCCCTAACTATAGGCAGAATCAAAGAGGAACGTTTTAAGTTTTACTTTAAAAGAGCTGACCAAATCTGCCCCCCGGACTGAAAGTGGAACCTGGTTCCACAAAAGAGGAGCTTGATAACTGAAGGCTCTGGCCCCCAGCCTACTTTTTAAAACCATAGGAACAACAAGTAACACAGCATCTATGGAGCGCAGTTGCCTTGAATTCCTGACATTACCAAATGCATTTTGAGCCCGGTTAATTCCATAACTGATATGTTATGATCCATTCAATTAAGGAAAGAAATCTCTTTTTCACTCTGACATTTAATTGCAATTACATTTTTCTTTTTCTTGTGTGGGACAGGGAGAACCATCTCTTGGACACACGTCTGGGGGCACATTTCTAGTCTACAAATAGAACACCTACAAATACTTTTTAATTCTTTCCGGATTGGGAAACAGTCAGTTTTTGTTTAAGGGTTAATTGAGCAGCACCGGTAGCAGGGGGATTATTAATATATTTCTCATTGATTGATCACTACCTTTTGCCTGCGTAATTACTTTGCAATAATGGATCTCCCCTTCTCAGAGGCTGTTCCCCATGTCTATTGTCTTGTTTTTCATTTAACCTGTTTTGCCATGATTGGACAAGGCAGCATTGTTTAATGTGTGAACATACACACATCACATTCTTAACGTGCCCAGTTTTTGACAGCATTGTCTTCTCTTCCCCCTCTCAAACACACACAAACAAACTGTGTCCAGCGTGCACGTTCATGTTGCTACATTGTTACGGACCCAGCGCAAAGGTGAACAAATCTTTTTTTTCTTCTTCTTCAATCATAGAGAAATCCAAGCATGTTATTCAGGACAAGGTGTTTTATTTGCATTCAAGTTTGTCAAGTAATGTCAGCCAAATTGATTTTGAACTCGCCAAAGCCAAGGTAAAGCGCAAGATGCTTGAGTTCCAATTCTTTACACTGAATTGATTTTGATAAGTGGATATTTATGTGCATAATTGTGACCCAGATGAAAGCTGAAGAGAAGGAGATGGCTTATGTATGTATAGGCACTTTGTTAACAGCCGTTGCTGTATTCTCGGTAATAATCGTGTACTTTGAAAGCCATTTGCAGAACCGCCAGGGCAAACTTAATTGCTTTTAGATTGATCATTCCTTTCGGTCCTCGTGCAATAAAAATGAACTGAAGCCTGGATATCCATTACCAACAATAGAAAACCACCATCTGTAGTGTCCATTTCATCTGAACCATGTTTAGTATCCAGCTCACAGGTCAGCACACAAGGGAAAAAGGTCGGCGTGCTAAGTGTTGGGGTGATAAATTATACGCACGGATAAGTTCCTAAAAAGATTCCCCCCCGAGCAGAGCTTTTCAAAGCTGTTGATGAGCCTCATAAATCAGGGGCTGAGTCCCCACAACCAGCGGACGTTTCAGAGAGCCAGCGAGGGGTCGTACTTCACGGCCTGCTCCGTCCACCTGCTCATCGGCCTTCCAGCTTCAGAGACACAAACAGATGGTTTTGTCACAATAAAAAATAAATCCAAAATACCAACACCAAAACCTCCCTCTAGCGTTGTCCCACTGCCTCCCACTCTCCCTTTTCACAACTTCAAAGCCAATTTTTAAAATCTTTTGTCATTTGTTTTGTTGCCTTCCTGCATGCGCAACATACGTCTGCAATGATTGAGGAAGGAGCCGCTGAGTTTCGAGCACCCAAGCAATGCAATTTTACAACACCAAGTCCTGCCGCTTCCTTTAGCATTCCTATTGCGGGGCCGACATATCTTTTTCTCCATTCCATAAATCAAAGTCCCTCTCCCGTCCCCTCCCAAGACCTGCCGAGTGGAAGAAAAAAATATGCTTTTGCACAGAAAGAGTTTG